GGATACCACAGGAGTACATGGGCTTCCTGGACAACTGGATGACCAGACCAGCACATCACATCTAGACTGTGCCCTTCACTCCAAGGAAATTCACCAGTAGAATTCTCGGTGGTACATGTGCTGCTTGCTAGCCCGGATATCATCAGGGAGATTTGGTTTTGTGACTCTCCATCACTGGGGACTTCAAGTCTCACATCAGAAATTGGCCAGATGGTCCACAAACTGGAGCCTCTAGCCCAGTGTCACCCCCTAGTCCAGGGCTCAGCCATTGCGAGATTAAATGTGGTGATTCCTAAAAGCTCTAAAAATCAACCTTCCATATGACCCCACAATTTCCCTACTGGGAATATACCCTGAAGAACTCAAGTCACTCTATAAAAAAGATACCTCTATAAAAAGATCACAAAATTGTTCACAATAGCAAGATCATGGAAACAACCATGCTGTCCATCAAAAGACGACTGAATTTTTTAAATGTGGTACATATACACAATGGAATATTACACAGTCATAAAAAAGAACAAAATCATGAATTTCGCAGCAACCTGGATGAAATTAGAGTTTATAAAACTGAGTGATCTCTCACAGAAACAAAGATCTGAGTATCACATGTTCTCACTCATAAGTGGACCTTGAACAACTATCGTAATACTGTAAGAAAAGGATTGACAGTGGCAGGAAACTATTGGGGGTGGGCAGAGAGGGGAAGGGAGGTGGGATTAATGATGGTCAATATCTGTCTAGGGACAGGGGGCACACCTCATCAACAGGGGTGCCCGCACAATGCATATTAGTATACCTAACCCTTAACTGTACTCCACAATTTTAAAATAAAATAAAATAAATAAAAGAGAAACACAAATAGGCCATTCACCATGACCTCCAGCTCATCAACACAGACCAGCAGGAAAACCAGCTCCTGAGACGTCAATTAAAAAAAATCCGAGGGAATTCTTTTTAATTGAAATTGTGCTTTATGTTTCCAGTATACAGCAGTAAGATTATGCTCAACACTCTCAGAATGGCTTTCAATTTATTAATGAAATATTTATTTCAGTTGTTATAAAATCTGAACCAGCAAGATGAAATATAAAGAATTTTTGTCATTATTTTCTGGGATCATTCTGTCCTAAATATCAAGTTAAACAAATACTAACTAGCAAATTTACTGCCTGTTTCCTATTGTAGTGGACTTTAACATGAGGTAAACATCACATTAAATTGTTCTGGGAGGTGAAAACTGAGCTAAAGTTTACAGGATGGTGATCTAAATTGACACCCTACAGGCATTAACGGACTCATATCCTCCTGTCCAGCCCTGTGTGGAAGTGACCGGACACCCAATAAGAGAAGAGAGAGAAGTGAGTCTCTTCATTGGAAAGGAACCCTAAATGTACAGCCAGGGGGTGCAAGAAACAGCCCCATCCCCACACCCTTTCGGATTTCATCCTCTAGAGAGGGTGCCGATGGGGAGACCAGGACTGACACCTAGGACAGGGGCAGTCAGGGGGAGGGAGGCAGAGAGGGAACCCATGTTTAGGGCTGGGCTCAGAGACAGGGACACAGCAGTCCCTGGGTGTTCATTCTGCAGTTCTAGATTGTGGCCCTTAGGAAAGTGGCTGTGTCCAGAGGTTGGAGAGAAATTGTCACTCCTCCTCATGTCTGGGTCACCCTGTGCTGGCATGTGAGAACCAGAAGCCCAGACAGTGTTTTCCTCTCCCAAAGGAACGTCCTGGCCTCCCTCTGAGCCTGTAGGGAGACTCCCCCATCCACCCTCTTTTCTCTCCTGTCAGGAGGCCCTGTCGCGATATGTGCCTTGTGCAATGTGTACAAAGGATTTACTTCTGGGCTGGATTTGGGACTAATTTGTTTAAACATTTTCATTTCAGCCCCTCTTTGTCATCAAATGAGAGGTTACTAGATGAACTTGTGGTGACAGTTCATCCTCTCTTGTTTGTAAAACGAGAAAGGGAAACAGATGACAAACCTGTCAGGGACACACTCATAGCACTCAAGGTGCAGGTGAGGCAATGCCACTGCTGAAGACAGTGGAGACTGGCCCCCAATTACGGCAGCTGGTCAATCACACTATTCCTTACCCCCTTGTCTTCCGGGCCCCAGCTGAGCCCTCAGCACTCAGCATATGCCAGGGTCCTTCCTTTCCATAACACTTGGGAGGGGGCCCTCTGTGCAGTGCCCAAATGGAAAAGGAGAGATACAGCCCGTCTCCTGTGTGCTCCGTGCTGACAGAGACACTGCACACACACTCTGGCCTTTCTTTCCCCCTTTTAGTTTTGTCCTGGACCTCCCCCAGGTCACACATACCCAAGACCCAGCAAATGTCTAAAAATGTGACCAAATAACAGGATTCTACAAGACTCCCCTGGGGACAGGTGCCAGGGCTAGGGACTAGGGAGCAGATAGTAGGTGGATGGAGCCCTGAAGTGACTGACAGCCCAGTGTCCCCAGATCCTGAGTGCTGCTCCATCCCAGGCTCTTGGGAAGCCTGCAGGAGGGTCTGGATAGAGTCACTGGTCAGTTAGAAGGGTTTGCACAGCAGAGCCCAAGATCCAGCCATTCTCAGCCTGTTGAGTTCTAAGAGGGGAGCGAAGGAGATCAGAAGGGGGACGGCCCCACAGAGGTGGACCCCCCCCAGGGCCCCGGACCAACCCATCCTCCACCTTCAGGTCCCAGGTCCTGCATGTATTCCTGAGCTATGGGGCCCTGTGCAGCTTCCTCTGCTGGATCCTGAGCTGCTCGTCATCCTGCTTGCCCTTTTCCCTGAGGCCAACAGATGACTCCAACAAGTACCTTGGGAAGAAGGCCTAACACATGATCACAGTTGACATCCCCACCCTCTTCAACGGAGTCGTCCCTGGGCCCAGGTATCTGTTGGAAAGTCACCAGGAAGTGGATTTTCAGTTGTGGAGACATTTTGGACAAAGAGGGGCTTTGCGTTGTCAGAGAGGCAGAGGCAGGTGTCAGGAGGGGTCAAGGGCAGTGGCCTTGGCAAGCTTGGGGCATGGGCAAGGGAAGGAGGGTGTTCCCGATGCCCTGAGTTGGGGAACCCCAGAGGCTGAGGAGCCAGACAGGAGGGAGATGCCCCCAGGGATGGAGCATAACACTCTCCCACGTGCAGCCCCGTATGTTTTCCCAGGAAGAACATCCCTGTAGGGACATGAACAGGGACTGGGCCCTTCCATGTCTGGAAGCCCCAGTGCTGGTACAGGTGCCGTCCCTTGCCAAGAGGCTGTGCCTACTGTGAGCATCAACTGTGTGTGCCACAAGTGTGGGCAGTGAAGTATGAACTAGTCAGACACACACCACACACCTAACCAAGATGAGTCCACACCCAAACCACCTAAGATTCAAATGGTTCTGACATCCCTTAGGGGACGTCCTCTTGACTAGCGAGGACAGGGCTCTGGGAACACATAGGATGGGAAGTATCCTCCCAGCAGCAGGCAGAGCACAATCTGTCCATGAGGAGTGGTGGCCACCAAATGCAGGGGACAGTATGCTGAAGTTTTCCACATAGCGTGTGACAGCCAGTCTGCAGACCAAGGAGCCCAGTGCTGTGTCCAGGCAGCCAGGTCAGGTATGTCCTCAGGCCCTGGACTCCTCTACATTGCATAGCAGGCCAGGGACAGAGTGGTCTAAGAGGAGCCAAGACAGATGACCAGCAAAACAGGAGGCAGTGCCTGGGACTCACATTCCAGTACCTCCCAGGGACAGATATCCTGAGGACAGCTGGAGGCCCCCAGGGAGGATAGAGCCAGATGTGCCGCTAGGAAAACAGGACTGGCTTGGAGTCAGAGCACAACTCCTTCCCAGTTCCTTGGGGCCTGGGGTGGGAGGAAAGAGCACAGGGTGACCCTTTGGGGGTGGATATGTGTCCCTGCCACACTCTGCAGGTTGGGAGGGCCTAGAAATGTCTCTGTACCCCTCTGAGCCTTTACAATCTCTTCTTGGTAATGGGCACAAAAGACTCCTCTCTCTAGTTAACAATCAACAGATGGACTGTTCTTGGAGGACTGTGGACATGTTGGTCCTCCTCTCTCTCAGAGCCTGGGATGAAGGTCTCTTAGCCAGACTCTGTCTTCCAGCTGCAGGGCCTCCGTGCAGGTCTCTGGATGCAGATGGTTCCTACACCGGTGAGGGACACAGCTTGGCTGTTGTGGAGCCTGACTCATAGGCATGCTGAGTCCTCTGTGGGGTCTTTCTCCAGAGTGTGGACCCTGTCCTCCTACCTGTCCTCCCACCTGTTTCCTTGCTTCCTGCCTTCCACATTCCTCGTTCCAGAGTGACCCTGTTATGCCCAGGGCTTAGTTTCCCCATTGTCTGTCCAAAGAGTCCAGGTAGGTCTCTTGTCAGAATGGAGAAATCAAAACCAAAAGTTGTCCGAAGACATGGCAGAGAAATTCCTTGTTCTGTATCAGTGATGTGGGTGGCATGCGTGGCCTAAGTCCAGGAAGAGGTGGGACACGATATCACTGACTCAGCAGCGTCCAGTTGTCACAGACAGTATAGAAGGCTCCCGGACCCTAGAGAATATTGACGAGAATCATGTCACACCAAGTGCAAGTGTCAGAAGCAGGAGGCCTCAGACCCAGGAACCGTGAAGTGACGAGGACGTGGAGGCCAGACCAGCACCAAGGCCCAGGTATGGGAGACTCCTCAGAGATTCTCTGCTCATGAACATTTTCCTAGAGCTTACTTTGGGACACTCAGCTCTCCCCCTCAATCCCTGGGGAATGCTCCTTTCCTCTCAACCTTCTTTCTAGTCCTGGCTTCTCCTTCTAGGGTCCCTGTGTTGGTTCCAGTCCCAATCTCTCGACCGATAGTGTCAGTTCTGAGTCTCCCCACTTCCTGGGGCCGGTGTGAGGGAGACAGCAAGTCTGGGTGGATGATGGTGTCGAGACCACGTGGGTGAAGATGGCTCGCGTGGGATCCTCCTCTCTTGTCTTACATTAACATCTGCCATTTCTTGCAAACCTACCATGTCTCCAGACCTGGTAGGCCCTTTTCATGCCCACTCCCTTCCCATTTTACCAAATATGAAAAGTGAATTGCTTCTAGTACTGCTGTGCTCCAAAGAGACGTCCTTGTTTCCTTTTTCTGAGAACACACAGTAGGAAGTGACAGAGTCCAGGTTCACACCTGGTCTATGCAAAACAATGAGATTTTTCAAAGGACAGATGGATTCGGGTTGTGTTAGGGTGCACAGCAAGGGTCCAAGAGAAGTCTGCAAAACAGAGCTGGGGTCTCCTCCTCAGGAGCCTGAGGTGCCCACCCGGCCTGAGAGGCATCAGGGCAGGGGAAGAGCTGAGGCCTGGGCAGGACTGGATTCGCACGGGAGATTTGTGGAGAGGGCCAGGGATGGCAGGACTGAGGGCAGGAGAAGACCCCAAGTAGGGACAAGAGCATGTGTCAACTGGAGTGTTGGGAAAGGAGCTTCAGCAAAGTGGTTGGAATCTCTGTTTCCTGAAATCCCCTGAGGCAGGGAGGTCCATGTTTCCTGGTATCAGAGGGTGAGACGCAAGTGCTTTTGGGGAGAGAACATGCATAACCAGTCAGGGAGAAATTGCAACAGAGTAGGCTGCAAATAAGGTGACACCCATTAACTAAGTTGAATGCGAAACTGTATTTTATTTGCTAGGCCTGGCTGCCCTATTAAGTGGGAGGGGAAGAAAATGCCAGTGGGGAGGTGGGAATAGGGACCAGAGGAAGGGCAGCCAGTGAGGGGTCTGGGAGATCCTTCCTCTCCTAGGATGACCAAGAGGTCCACAGTAGACACGAGTGTCAGCATCGGCCCACTGAGGCCAGGCAAGCTGGCTCCCTCATTGATGGAGATTTGCGCGCAGGCACATCCCGGCTGCACAACTGGGCCAAGGGCACCAGAAACTGGAGAAGGTTCTCTGCAAACATGTGCAGGCCTGGAGGTAGTGTCAGAAGGAGAGTGGGAAGTAGCCAGGACAAGGGCCGGGGATGAGGATGTCTTCTCAGAAAGTTTCATTAAGGGAAGGAAGAGGACTCCTTATCCCCTTCCTCTGCCGCACTGAGGAAGAAGGAAGGAACAGGTAAGTACATGAGGGTGGCCTTCCTGGTTGACTCAGAGGGTCTATACACTCCAGCAGGACAGGGATCATCTCAGAGGGAAAATGAGCGGAACCAGGAAACTCTGACCCCATCTCAGGGTAAACCAAGGAAGGCTCTGGAAGACAGCTGTCAGCTGGCTTAGAGTCACCATTCAGACTCGCGAGGGTGCTAGCCTCCCTGAGGAGGTATACAGGAAGGGAGTATTCGATGGACAACCGAGGAGGATTAAAGCTGAGAAACTGAGACCACAATGAAATCACAGATCCAAGAACACAGGGAAGGACCAGTTGATGGGAACTGGTTATGACAAGGAGCTGGCATCCAGTCCTTCCTCTGGTCACAGCAGCACCTCCAGTTCCCTCTGAGATTTCCTTTCCAAGCAAAGCCTTGGAGGAGCAAAGCCTTCCTTTCCGAGCAAAGCCTTGGAGGAACAATCATCACCTGTCACCTAGGTGTCCTCCCAGGACAAATATGAGGTGGAAGCCAAGCTCAGCTGCTCTGGCTCCTCCCTTAATGCAGGAATAGAGGAAAAAAAGCAACTAGAAAATGTTTGTCCCAGGAGTGGGCCCTGGACAATGGTCCCTGGATCCTCCCCCGGGGTCTCTAGAGCAACAGGGTCAGGTTTTCTCCAAGACCTTTTCCTTCGGATTTTCCCGGAACCCGGTAGCTCTTGCTTCCTAGACATCTAAATACCTGCTCCAGTGAGTGTCATGTGCTCACTCTGCTTCGATAAAGACCCCTATAAAGAAATATCCAGGGAAAACCAAGTGGGATGGGCTCCAGCTCTCCAACCACAACACAGGGGAACATGGGCAGGCTTTGTGCCTTGTCCCAAAATAGCACAAGGGGAAGCCACCGACCCGGAGACTAAGAGGACCGAAATGCACAAGCGCCACTGCAGCTCCAAGGAAAGGTGCTCTCATCTGGATTGATCTCGAGGACACTAGGATTTGCAGCCCTGCATATTTAACCTGTAGGGAGCAAAGCATGTTTAATTCAACAGAGCACTCGCTTTTCTTCAATGTGACCATGAAAAGCTAACGGTTCAGAAGGGAGAGGGCAGGAGGTGGAAAAGAAAGGAAAAGGAGAGGCTGAGTTCTTGTTTCACAGAGAGGAACCCAGAGACTGAACGAGGTAAAGAGAAGGGGAAACAGTTGAAGCTGAAGAGGAATGAGATGTGAGTCACAGATTAGTGACATCCCTTTGAGGACAGGGAAATAAGAAGAAAGATCAAGAATGGGACATTCTCCCCTATCTTAAGGGACATGGAAGGCCCCGTGCATCATATGAAGAGAAGTCCCTGGGGCTCTCTTTCCTCGATGGTCCCACTCAAGAGCGCCTTGGCCCCCATGCTGAGTGGGGCACAAGTTAACCCTGCAGACAGGAGGAAAAGCCCAATGGGGCCACCTCGAGCAGTGGCTTTGGGGCTGGCAGAGCCAGGATGGGGTGGATGGTGAGGCCAAGGGAGGAGACCCAGCTGTACCCCAGGCAGAGAGGCAGGGCCTCCCCAGAGGGTCTGAACAGACTGGGTAGGTCCTGGGGAGACCCTGAAGGGGCCAAGGAAGCCCCAGGGCTGTGCTGACTTCTCAATGAGCCCAGAAGGGGTCAGAGAGGGAGACTTGGTGGTTTCAGCAAGGGAAACTCCCCACCTTGATAGGTGCCCCAGGAGGTAGGAGCAGGGGGAGAAGGAGTGTGGGAAGCAGGAGTCAGATATGGGTTGGAGAGTAGCGTGGTGTACAAGGAAGAGAGTGATGGGATCAACAGGAGGGGGTGTGGGATGGAGAGTTAGGGAATTTGGGGTGGTCCCATGAGGAGTCTAGATCTTTGGGTCTCTCCCACAGATACCTGATGGATCAAGACACATTCATTTTCAACTTTACAAATGACCCTTTAGTCTTTGGACGGCACCAGACCTTCCTGTGCTATGAGGTGGAGCGCCTGGACAATGACACCTGGGTCCCACAGGACGAGTGCATGGGCTTCCTGCACAACCAGGTGACCAGACCAGCACATCACTTCTAGACTGGGCCCTCCACTCTGAGGAAATTCACCAATAGCAGGTTTTCGGTGGTACATGCAATGTTCCCTAGAGTGTCTGTCACCTGTGGGTTCTGCTACTCGGCCCTGGGATCACTTGGGAGACATTGACTTCCTGACTCCCAATGTCAGAAACTGGCCACATGGACCACAGCCCTGTGCCATTAGGCCAGTGTCACCCCCAAATTCAGGACTCAGTCATCCCCTCCTGCTGCGTTCTGAGGAGTCGGGGGCAGAGAAAAAGGATCTGCAAAGTGCCAGGTGGTGTCTGGTCTCCCAACACCAAAGTGCTTCCTGAGGACCCTCCAGGATCCCCTCTCAGAAGCAACCTCTCACCAGGGACATCTTTAGATAGGTGAAATTAGAGGACTCAGGGCCTCCCTGACTCCATGTGACCAAGATTCCCAAGTATGTGCTTAGGGGCATCATCCTGAGGGAGGAAGGACTGAGGTAGGAGAAGAGGCAGGTAATTTGTCCCTGAGATTCTGTCTCACAGAGTAGAGCACACAGGGAGGCCAGGAGAACAGGCACCGTGTCAGGATGTCAGGGATGGCCAGAATTTCAGAAGGAGTCAGGACTGGCCAGGACACAGGGCACCTAAGCTGGAGGGACATCTTCCCTGTCCCTGCCCAGCACAGCCTCTGGCTGGAGAGGCTGAGTTCTGCTTAGCTCTTGTCCTGGAACTGAGGGCTCCACTGGGCACTACGGGCTAAGTGGGTGCCTGGCAGGACACACACCCACTACCTGGGACATCCTTTCAAGGATACCAGTTCCCATAACTGCCAAACCAGCGAGACTCGCCTGGGAATTACCCTCGTCCCCTTCTCAGCACAAACTATGTCATCCGTTCCACCCTGCTGTCCTCATAGCAATAGTGTCCTGGGCTGGACTCATCCCTTCCACATCCCCTCTCCTTGCTGCACTGGTGTCCTCTGACTGACTAGCTCCTACTCCTGATGGACAATGCTTCACTCTGCAGTTCCGACAGAACACCATCATTCTATGGGCTCCACAGTGACAATTATCCCATGACTCAGGGACATTTCCCCTTTGGGATGAGTCCTGCTGGGGGTCCTTTCCCCCGCTTCTCTTTGTAAAGCAATCCCTTTTGATCTGAGTCTATTTCACATTTGAGCTCAGGGCAGGATGTAGCTTTTTAGAAGCTTCTAGAAGTATGGGTCACAGATGGGGTGGTGGCAGGGGAATTGATGGGTAGGGCAGGTCAATCCTCACATGAAGGGAACATACCCAGCTTCTTGGCATCAGGCCAAAGACCTTGGGGTTCAGACAGCCCCTCCTCTTGCTGATGCCCCTCAGGCCTGGGCTGAGGGTCTTGAAGGCATTGACCTGGGGTACAAATTTAGAGGGGCTCTAAATGCTTAGCAAAATCACATTTTAATGTAAGATTAATATTTAATGCAAGTTTTAAAAGCCAAATTCAATGCAAAAGCCGCATGATGAACAAAACATCAACATTCTAACTGAAGACTGATAGTAACAGTGCTGCCATGTGGAGTGTATTGAAGTTGAGGCAATTAAAAGTTATCACTCCTGATCCGTTTGTCATGGTCAAAATTGCTCATCTTGGAAGTTTTACATCAATTTGATATTTTAAATATTCCATGCAAATTTGTTCATCTTTGTACCCGAGGTCCAGGACCCTTTAATTCTGAGTGGATGCCCCACTCTCCTGGCCTTTCCCTGGCCCCGGTCCTCCCTTCCTCCCTGTTCACACTCTGCTTTCTGCTTTCTTTTCTAGCCTCGGGATGAAGACCAACCAGCTCGCCATGCAGAGCTGTGCTTCCTGGACAAGGTTTCTTCTTGGCAGCTGGACCTGGCCCAGTGCTACAGGGTTACCTGCTTTATCTCCTGGAGCCCCTGCTCCAGTTGTGCAAAGGAAGTGACTGAATTCATAGAAAAGAACAGACACGTGACCCTGCGTATCCTGGCTGCCCACATCTATGATGATCACCGGAGATAAAAGGAGGGACTGGGCACGCTGCAGGGGGCAGGGGTCCACACCACTATCATGACCTCCAGGGGTGAGAATACAGAGTTCGAGTGGGGTGGGGCAGAGTCGGTGGGGCCAGGGAAAGGGCCCTGGGAAGTTACTAGAAAAGGAGGATAGGGTCAGCATCCCTAGGGGAAAGGCCTTGGTTGACTGCCTACAGAGATGATGCTGACACTCTGGGACCTGACTTCGGGGTCTATTGGAAGAGAGAGTCCAGGCCAGAGGTGGGGGTCCCAGAGAGGGGAGGAAGGGTGGTTGGAATTAGAAAGACTTGGGAACTTCCAGAAAGAATGAGAACTGGGCTGGGTCCAGTGTCTCATGTTTGTAATCCCAGAATTTTGAGAGGCAGAGGAGGGAGGATCACTTGAGGTCAGGAGTTCTAGACCAGCCTGAGCCACATAGGGAGACACCATCTCTACAATAAATAAATAAATAAATAAATAAATAAATAAATAAGTAATAGTAAATAAAATAATGAGAATGATTCCAACAGGAAGAAAGAGTTTGCTGAAGGAGCTACGTCTCTAGGGGAGGGAAAGGCAGAGGGAACTGAAATTGGTATGTAAAAGTCTGTCCCTAGGAGTCATACACCAAAATGCTCCTCCCCACCCACAGAGGGAGCTTGACTGATCTCCCCTGTCCCTTTTCAGACTTTGAGCACCTCTGGAACACCTTTGTAGACCAGCAGGGAAGTCCCTTTCAGCCCTGGGAGGGGCTGGATCAACATAGTCAAGCCACATGGCAGAGGCTGCAGGACATTCTCCAGGTGAGGGCCTCATCCCTCTGGCTGGGGCCTCATCTGCCTCCTCCCTCCTCCTTTCTCTTTTTTGGTCTTTCCTTCCTCTCTGCTCAGAGCCTCTTCTGAGTTATCTGCTTGCCCAGGAGCCCCCATCTCCATCCTACCCTTTCCTCCTCCCTACCTCCCTACTCTACCACCTCCTGGTTCCCCACATCCTCTCCTTGTCATCGCAACTGTCTCCAGACCTCTTCCCTGTGTTGTTTTTCCACTGTCCCACTCCCTGCTCCATCCAATCTCACCTGCTCTTCTAGAATCAGAGAAATTGAAAGATGGGCATCAATATCTCCAAGGAAGGCAGGAGACCTGTGTTGAGGAGCAGAATAAAACGGGCTTTCAAGAAATGCAAACAAGCAGTTCACCATGACTTCCATCTCATCAACACAGACCAGCAAGGAAACCAGCTCCCGGAACATCGATTAAAAAAAAAATCAGAGGGAATTCTTTTTCATCGAAAATGCATTTTTATTTTTACAGTAGTAAGATTATGCTCAACACCTTCAGAGTGATCCTCAATTTATTAATGAAATAATTATTTCAATCGTTTTAAAATCTAAACCAATACCATGAAGTATGAAGAACTTTTTTACAATTTTTTCCATGTCATTTTGTCCTGAATATCAAGTTAAATAAATACTAGCAAATTTGCAACATCTTTTCAATTGTAGTGGACATTAACGTGAGGCAATGGTCACACTAAATCCCTCTGGGATGAGTTACACCTTGCAGGAGGGTGATCTAAATTGACACTCTACCCTCACTGACAGAGTCCTATCCTGCTGGCTAGCCCTGTGTAGAAGTAACAGGCCACCCAGTAAGAGAAGGGAGACTAGTGAGTTCCCATGTTGGAAAAGAAACCCAAAAGTGCAGTCAGGGGGTGCCAGGGACAGTCTCGTCCCCACATCCTTCCCAATTCCACCCCCTAGTGAGAAAGCCAAGGTGGAGGCCATGGCTACAACCCAGAACAGGGACAGTCAAAGCAAAGAAGGCAGGGAGATGGTAGATGTCCAGAGCCGGGCCCAGGGATAGAGAGGTAGCAGTTCCCGGGGTGCTCACCCTGCAGTTCCAGGCTATAACTCTTAAGAGAATTACTGTGTGCAGAGGCTGGAAAAAAATTGTCACCCACTCACATCTGGGTCACTCTGGCACATGGGAACCAGAAACCCAGACAGTGGTTCCCCTGTCTACCCTCTGCCAGGGGAGGGCCCTGGCCTCCCTCTGTGTCTGTGGAGAGACCCTCCCCACCTCCTTTCTCTCTTGTCTGGAGGCCCTGTCTCAATATGCATCTTGCACAATATGGTGCAAAGAATTTATCTGTGGGCTGCATCTTGGACAAATTTGTTTAAATTTTTTAGGCTCAGCCCCTTATGTTAACAAATGAGTAGTTTACAGAGGTGAAATTTTGGTGACAGTCCATCCTCTCTTATTTGTAAAACTAGAAGGGGAAACATATGGCATACCTGTTAGGGACAAGCACACTTGGTGCAGGTGAGGCCATTCCGCTATTCCGCTACCATTGACAGTGGAGACCCACCCTCCCAGTTAGGGTAGCTGGTCACTCATGTGGCTTCTAACACCCCTATCTTTGGGAGCTCCTGCTGAGCCACCTGCACCCAGCACACAAGGGTCCTTCCCTCCCATAACACCTGGATGGGGCTGCCCTATGCAGAGCCCCAGTTAGGGAGGGAGGTCACGGTAAGGACACAGCCTGGCTCCTGTGAGTCCTCCTGTCCACAGAGTCCCTTGCACACACTCACGGGCCTTTCTCTCCCCTTTTAGGTTTGTCTCTGGATGTCACGCAGGTCACACATACCCAGGACCCAGCAGATATCTGTAAATATAACCAAAGGATAAGATTCTGCAAGGACTCCCCTCACTCCCCAGGAATGAAGACTGGGGAGCAGATAGGAGGCTGCTGAGGCCCTCATGTGACTGACAGCCCAGTGTTCCCAGATCCAGGCTTCAGGGCAGCCCTGCAAAAGGATCTGCACAGAGTCACTGGTCAGCTGGAAGGGGCTACACAGGAGGATCCCAATACCCTGTTATTCCCAGCTTGTGGGGCTCCTGAGAGGAGAAAGAGGGAGATAAGGGGAAATCCCAGCCGGACTCGGTGGCTCAGTCTGTAATCCTAGCACTTTGGGCAGCAGAGGCAAAAGGATTGCCTGAGCCCATGGGTTCGAGACCAGCCCCAGAAACTTGGCAAGACCTCATCTCTACAATAAAAAAATTAGCCGGGCTTGGTAGTATGCACCTGCAGTTCCAGCTACTTGGAAGCTGAGGTAGAAGGATTGCCAGAGCCCAGCAGGTTGAAGCTGGGGTGGCCATGAATGTGCCACCGCACTCCAGCCTGGGTGACAGAGTGAGACTCCAACTCCAATTCAAAAAAAAAAAAAACAAAGAAGGGGTAAGTCCCCATTGAGGTGAAATATCTTCCAGGTCACCAGGAGTTCATCTTTCTGAGCTCTTGGGCCCTGGGCAGTCCCCTCTGCCAGATCCAGAGCTGGCCTCTCGCCATCCTGCTTGTCCTTCTCCCTGAGGTCCGACAGGTGACTCCAGCAAAGCACCTTGGGAAGAAAGTCAAGCACACTGTCACAGTCGACATCGCCAGCCCTCTTCAAAGGAGGAGCTCCTGGCCCCCGGTATCTACTGAGAAGTCACCAGGAAGTGAACTTTTCAGTCATGGAGATACTCTGGACATGGAGGGGCTTGTCTAGGTTAGAAAGAGAGAGGCGGCAACTAGAGGAGTCATGGGCCGGGGGCCTGGCCAGGCTGGGCCTGGACAAGGGAAGGAAGATGTGCATGGAATGCAGATGGGAGGACCCCGGAGGCTCAGGAGTCAGACAAGAGGGAGATGCCCCAGGAGATATGGACACAGCCCTTTCCGATGTCTCCCCAACCCCCACCCGCCGTTTCTCCACAGAAAGCTCTGGAGGGCTGTGGCTCCAGGGACACATTTGTTTGGAGGCATGTGATACAGGCTGAAACAAGGGAGAGACTGTCACTCTGGGCAGCAGGAGCCACCTGGGAAGGGGTGGGGAAGGGCATGGACTCTGCCCTCCAAGGGTCTCACAGGGCACAGGAGGTGACTGGGGCCAGGAGCAGAGCTGGCTGGATCAGGACGGCACAGCCTCCAGGAAAGGCAACCCTGTGGGGGACATGAGCAGAGACCGGGGTCTTTTTGTGTCTGGGAGCCCGAGGCTGGTGCAGGTGCCATCTCTGGCCAGGAGGGCTGTGCCTACTGTGGGCACCTCCATCTGTGAGAACAGGGAAGTGTGGGTTCTAGTCAGACACACAGTGCACCCAGGATGAGTTCACACTGAACCATCTAAGGCTCAAATCGGGGCTGACACCCACAGGGGATTATCCTCTTGACTAGAGGGGACCGAGGTCTGGGAGCACATAGGATGGGAGAGGCCCCACAGCAGAGAGCAGAGTACTCTCCATCTGTCCATGAGGAATGGCAGCCACCAAGAATGCAGGGGACACTGAATTGGAGTTTTTCACCCATGGCGTGTGGCTAGCCAGCCTGAGAAGACAAGTAGCCTGGTGCTCTGTCCAGGCAGTCAGGAAAGGACTGTCCCTAGGACCTGGATTCCTTTGCATGGGACAGCAGGCCAGGGACAGAGTGATCTAAAAGGAGTCAAGACAGGGTGGTCAGCGGGACAGGGGGCAGACCCCCAGGCCCATAGGGCCAGCACCTTCCAGGGAGAGCAAGAGACCCCTGGGGAGGACTGGCCAGGCCTGCTGAAAGGACAACAAGACTGACCTGGAGCAGGGTGACCCTTTAGAGGTGGATGTGTGTCCCCGCATCACTCTGCTGTCTGGGAAGGCCTGGAAACTTCTCAGTACCTCTCTCAGCCTTTACAATCTTGTATGTGTAATGGGCATGAAGCACTTCTCACTCTAATTAGCAGATGGACTGATCCATAGGAGGATGAAGGACATGTGAGCCCCCTTCTCTCTTCAGAAGCTAGGATGCAAGCCTGGCACCTGCTCTCAGAGCAAACTCCGTCCTCCAACTGCAGGACCTCCACACAAGCTCCCGGATGCAGCAGGCCTCAGGGATCCTGGACCAGGCACCCCTGAGGGAACTGCTATAGGACACAGCATGATTGTTCTGGAGTCTGACTTCTGGGTATGCCGAGTCCTCTGTGGGGTCTTCTCCAGAGTGTGGACCCCTGTCCTCCCACCTGTCTCTTCCTGCCTTCCACATTCCTCATGCCCAGAGTGACCACATTATGGCCAGGGCTCGCTTTTCCCATTATCAGTCTGTAGGGTCCAGGTAGAGTTTATGTCAGAGTGGGGACATGAACACCAAAGGTTGTCCAAAACACATTCCTTGTTCTGTAACAGTGATGTGGGTGGCATGTGTGGCTTATGTTCATGAAGGGGTGAAACACAATATCACTCACTCAGCAGCGTCTGGTGGCTCTGATAGCATAAACGTCTCCCAGGCCCTACAGAATATTGGTAAGGATCACAGCATCACACCAAGCACAAGTGTCAGAAGCAGAAGGTCTCAGACCCAGGATCTGTGAAGGGACTAGGACACGAAGGCCAGCCCAGAACTGAGGCCCAGGCATGGGAGGCCCCTCAGAGCTTCTGTTCCCGAGCCTCCTCCTAGTGCTTTTCCTGTGAGTACTCAGTTCTCTCCCTCAAACTCCTGCGGACTCTCCACTCTTCCCAACCTTCTCTCTGGACCTGGTTCTCCCTCTGGAGTCCCAGCTGGGGCCCCTCCCTGGTATCTTGTCCGATACTCTCAATCCTGAGTCTCCTACCACCTGGTGCAGGTATGAGGGAGCCAACAAATCCCAGGAGATGATGGCGAGTGGGTGAAGGTGACTTGAGAGGAATTCTCCTCTTTTGTTTTACATTAACACCTGCCATTTCTTGCAAACCTACCATGTCTCCAGATCTGGGCTGAGCCCTTTCCATGCCAGACTGCACCCTGTTTTCCCTAATAATGAGCATAGGAACTGCTTTTAGCACAATCTTGCTATGAAGAAAAATCTTGCTTCTTTTCCCCTGAGAACACACAGTAGGAAGTGACAGAGCCCAGATTCACACATAGTCAATGCAAAAACATAGAGAGACTGAGATTTTTCTGAGGACAGACGGATGAGGGTCGTGTTAGGATGCACAACAAAGGTTTAAGAGAAACCTGCAAAATGGAACTGAGGTCTCCTGCCCAGGAGCCTGAGGTGTCCACCCGGCCTGAGAGGCATCAGGGCAGAGGGAAGAGCTGAGGCCTGGGCAGGACTGGACTTCCAAGGAAGATATGTGGAGAGGGCGAGGGAGGGCAGGGCTGAGGGCAGGAGAAGGCCCTGAGAGAGGGGACAGGGGTCATCAGGAGTGTTGGGGAAGGAGCTTCGGCAAACAGGTCAGAGTCTTTGTTTCCTGGAGGCCACTGAGGTGGATTCAAGCTGGGAAATTGAAGCACAGATCCAAGACACAGGGAAGGAGAGGTTGGCAGGAGCAGGTTGTGACAGGAGCTGGTACCCCGTCCTTCCTCTGGTCACAGCAGCACCTCCAGTTCCCTCTGGGCTCTCCCTTCCCCTTTGGACCACAGCCTTGGAAGGACAATCACCACCTGTCACCCAGGTGACCTCCCAGGACAAGGGTGGGTTGGGAATCAAGCGCAGCCACGCCGGCCCTTCTCTTAAAGCAGGAATAGAGGAAAGAAAGCAATTAGGAAGTGTTTGTCCCGGGAGTGGGCTCTGGAAGACGGTCCCTGGATCCTCCTCCGGGGTCTCTAGAGCAACAGGGTCAGGTTCTCTCCAAGACCTTCTCCTTCAGCTTTTTGCAGAACCCAGGAGCTCTCACTTCTTGGACATTTAAATATCTGCTCTATTGCGCGTCCCATGCTCATTCTGCTTCCATAAAGACCCCTGGAAAGGAATAACCAGGAAAAGTCAAGCGGGATGGGCTCTGGTTCTCCAACCAGGACACAAGGGGACCTGAGTGTGACAATTTGCAGCCCTGCAGATTTAACCTGTAGACAGTGATATGTGTTTACCTCAGCGGAGCATTGGCTGTACTTCAAATGTGGTGATGAAAAGCTAATGGTTTAGAAGAGAAAGGGTGGGAGGTGGAAAGAGGAGAAGGAGAGAGAGGCTGAGTCCTCGTTTCACAAAGATGAGAGCCCAGAGACTGGTCATGGTGGAGAGAGAAACAGGGTAGAAGTTGAAGAGGAATGGGTTGTGAGGCAGAGATTGGTGACATCCTATGAGGGCAGGCAAGTAATAAGGGACAACTGAGCAGTGGGAATTCTCTTCTACCTTAAGCGACATGGAAGACCCTGTGCATAATCTTTTTTTTTTTTTTTAGTTGGAGTCTCACTCCATCATCCAGGCTAGAGTGCAGTGGCACACTCACGACCACCCCAGCATCAACCTGCTGGGCTCTGCTGATTCTTCCTCCTCGGCCTTCCAAGTAGCCAGAACTACAGGCACGAGCTACTATGCCCAGCTAATTTTTTGATCTATTGTAGAGATGAATCTTGCCAAGTTGCCCAGGCTGTTCTTGAATCCGTGGGCTCAGGCAATCCCCTCACCTCGGCCTCTCAAAGTGCTGGGATTATAGGTTTGAGCCACCACGCCCGGCCTATGCCACATCTTAAAAGCAGTCTCTGGCAGTTTCTTTCCCCGATGATCCCACTCAGGAGTGTCTTGGCCCTGATGCTCCTGATGGGCATGAGTTAATCCTGCAGACAAGAGGAAAAGTCCAGTGGGGCCACCTTAAGCAGTGGTTGTGGGGCTGGCAGAGTCAGGATGGGGTGAAGGTGAGGCCATGGGGTGAAAGTGAGGCCATGGGAGGAGACCCAGCTGCACCCCAGGGAAGTGGGGAGGGGCGGGGCCTTCCCAGAGGGTCTGAGCAGGCTTGTGCTGAGGACTGATGTGGGTTGACAGAGGACAGAGTGTGAGGTGGTTCCATGAGGAGTCTTAGGTCTATGGGTTTCTCCCACAGACAGCTGATGGATCAAGACACATTCATTTCCAACTTTAATAATGACCCTTCAGTCTTTGGATGGCACCAGACCTTCCTGTGCTTCGAGGTGGAGCGCCTGGATGATGACACCTGGGTCTCACAGGTCAAGTACTTGGGCTTCCTGCGCAACCAGGTGACCAGACTAGCACACTACATCTAGGTTGGGCCCTCCATTCCAAGGAAGTTCACTCGTAGAAGGTTCTCGGTGGTACATGTGTTGTTTGCTGGAGTGTCTATTACCTGTGGGTTCTGCTACGTAGCCCAGGGATCGTCTGGGAGACTTTGGCTTCATGACTCTGCATGACGGGGGACTACCAATCCCAGGTCGGAACTGCGTGGTCCACAGCCTGGCCCCACTAACCTGGTGTGACCCTCAAGTCCAGGGTTCAGTTCTCACCTCCTGCTGTGCTCTGAGGGGTCCGGTTCAGAGGAAAAGGGTCTTTACCAGGACTAGGTGGTGTCGGGTCTCCCAACACCAAAGTGCCTCCTGAGGACCCTCCCAGGATCCCCTCCCAGAAACAGCACTCACCAGGGGTGACTTTTGAGTGGTGGGATTGGAGGACTCGAGGCCTCCCTGACTTCACAGAGCCAAGATTTCCACATGTGTGTTCATGAGCATCATCCAGGGGGAGCAGGGACTGAGGCAGGAAAGGAGACAGAGAGTCTGTCCCTGGGATTCTGTCCTGACAGGGCAGAGCCCACAGGTAGGCCAAGAGAACAGGCACCATATCAGGTTGTCATGGACAGCCAGCATATGGAGAGGAGTCAGAACTGCCAGGCCACAGGGCAGCTCAGCTGGAGGGACATTATTCCCTGGCCCTGCCCAGCACAGCCTCTGGATAGAGAGGCCAAGTTCTGCTTGGCTCTTTTCCTGGAAATGGGGCTCCTCTGGGCATGACGAGCTAAGTGAACGCCTCACAGGACCCAAGCCCACTGCTTGGGATGTCCTTTCAAGGACACCAGTCCCCATAACTGCTTAACCAGTTGGACTTGTCCAGGAATGATCCACAGTCCCTTTTTAGAACAAGCTGTATCATCCATTCCATCATGCCATCCTCCTGGCCATGGTGTCCTGGGCTGGACTTGTCCCTTCCCCATCTCCTCTCCTTGCTGCTTCAGTCCGACTAGCACTTACTCCCAGTGGACAACGCTTCACTCTGCAGTTTTGACAGAACACCATCATTCTATGGGCTTCACAGTGACAATTATCCCATGACTCAGGGACTTTCCTTGTTTGGGGTGATTCCTGCCAGGGTGCCTTTCCCCCCACTTTTCTCTGTATAGAATTCCTTTTAGTCTGAGTCTATTTCACATTTGAGCTCAGGACAGTATGTAGCAATTTAGAAGTTTCTACACGTATGGGTCACAGATAGGATAGTGGTAGGGGAATCGACAGGTAGGAGATGTCAATACTCAAGTGAAGGGAGCACACCCAGCTCCTTGGCATCAAACCAATGACCTTTGGGCTCAGTCAGCCCCTCCTCCCTCCTCTGGCTCTGCAACCCCTCCCTGTAGGGATCAGGCCTGGGCTGGGCTGAGGGTGTTGAGGGCAGTGACCTGGGGTGCAAACTTAGAGGGGGCTCCAGATGCTCAGATAAATCATATTTTGATGTAAAGTTATTATTTCATGCAATCTTTTAAAATCAAATTCTATGCAAAAACCTCACGATGAACAAAATATCAACATCCTAACTGAAGACAGATAGTAAAAGTGCTGCCATGTGGAGTGTATTGCAGCTTTGGCAAGTTAAAAGTCATCATTCCTGATCTGTTTGTTTTCATGTGGTCGATAGTGTTCATCTTGGAATTTTTATATTTTGAATATTGCATGGAAATCCATTTACTTGGTACCTGAGGTCCTTAGCCCCTCTAATTCTGTGTGGAAACCCCAACTCCCTGGCCATTCCCTGTCCAGGCCCACCCTCCCTGTTCACACTTTGTTTTCTTTTCTAGCCTCAGGATCATGACCAACCATCTCACCATGCAGAGCTGTACTTTGTGGACTACGTTTCTTCTTGGCAGCCGGACCCAGTCCAGGACTACAGGGTCACTTGCTTTATATCCTGTAGCCCCTGTTCCAGCTTTGCTTAGGAAGTGCCTGTGAATTTGTGAAGAAGAACAGACACATGAGCCTGTGCGTCCTGGATGTCCGAATCTATGACAACTATGAGGAATATGAGGAGGGGCTGGGCACATTGCAGGGGGAGGGGCCCGCAATGACCTCCAAGGGTGAGACTAGAGCCTTGGAGTGGGGTGGAGGTTGAGTGGGTGGGGCCAGAGAAAGGGCCCTGGGAATTTACTAGAAAGGGGTGAGAGGGTCAGCATCCCTAGAGGAAAGGTCTTGGTTGACTGCCTGCAGAGCTGACAGCCACACTCTGAGACCTGGCTTTGGGGTCTATTGGAAGAGAGTGTCCAGGCCAGGAGATGAGGTCCCAGGGAGGAGAGGAAGGCTGGTTGGAAGTGGAAGGACTTGGGGGATTCCAAAGAGAAAGAGAACTGGTTTGGCCCCAGTGTCTCAAGTTTGTAATCCCAGAATTTTGGGAGGCAGAGGAGTTCACTTGAGGCCAGGAGTTCAAGACCATAATGAGCCACATAGGAAGACTCCATCTTTACAAATAAAATAAAAATAATAGACAAATAAATAAATAGAAGAACGGGAAATGGGTTGATTCAGATTCCAACAGGATGAACGAGTTTGATGAAGGAATTACATCTCCAGGGGAGGGAAACGCAAAAGAGGGGTCTGAAATTGGGATGTGGGAGGTCTGTCCCTAAGAGTCATACACTCTGGATGTCTCCTGCCCACCCTCGGTGGGAACTTGACTGATCTTCCTTGTCCCTTTTCAGAGTTTGGCCTCTGCTGGAACACCTTTGTGGACCACCAAGGAAGTCCCTTTCAGCCCTGGGAGGCCTGGATTAACACAGTCAAGTCACATGACAGAGGCTGCTGGACATTCTCCAGATGAGGGCTTCCTCCCTCTGGCTGGGACCTATCTGACTCCTCCCTTCTCTCCCTGGGCCTCTTTTACTTCTCTGCTCAGACCCTCCTCAGGAGTGTTCATCTCAGTTCCATCCCTTCCTCCTCACCGTCTCCCCCTGCTCTGTAACCTCCTGTGTCCCCCCTTTCTTTTGTCATTGTAATTGTCCCTAGACCTTTTCCTTGTTTGGTCTTTCCACTGTCCCACTCCCTGCTCCATCCAATTGCACCTGCTCTTCTAGAATCAGAGAAATTGAAGGATGGAAGACAGTATCTCTAAGGAAGGCAGAAGATCTGTGTCAAGCAGCAGAATAAACAACTCTTTCAAGAAACGCAAACAGGCCACTCACCATGACCTCCAGCTCATCAATAGAGACCAGCAAGAAAACCAGCTCCTAAGACATCGATTAAAAAAACCCAAGAGAATTCTTTTTAATTGAAAATGTGTTTTATGTTTCTGGTATACAGTAGTAAGATTATGCTCAACACTCTCAGAATGGCTTTCAATTTATTAACAAAACAATTATTTGAATTGTTTTAAAATCTAAACCAGTAAAATGAAATATAAAGAATTTTTTGTAATTATTTTCCAGGATCATTTTGTCCTAAATATCAAGTTAAACAAATACTAACAGCATATTTCCTATTGTAGTGGACGTTAGCATGAGGCAAAGCTCACACTAAATCCCTTTGGGATGAGAAAATTGAGCTAAAGCTTACAGGAGGGGGATCTAAATGCACACTCTATGCTCACTGACAGAGTCACAGCCTCCTGGCCTGCACTGTGTGAAAGTGATAGGCCACCCAATAAGAGAAAAGAGAGAAATGAGTCTCCAAATACAGTCAGGGGATGCTGGTAACAGTCCTGTCCCCACATCCTTTTGGATTCAACTCCCTAGAGAAGGTACCAATGGGGAGACCATGACTGAGACCCAGGACAGGGACAATCAGAGGGAAGGAGACAGAGGCAGTCCCTGGGGTGCTCACCTTGTGGTTCCAAGTTGTGACCTTAAGAAAGTTGCTATGTCCAGAGACTGGAGAGAAACTGTCACCCACTCACGTTTGGTCACCCTGTGCTGGCAGGTGAGAGCCAGAAGCCCAGACAGTGGCTCCTCCTGTCCTCCCTCTGCTAAAAGAGGGTCCTGGCCTCCCTCTGGGCCTGTAGGGAGAACCTCCCTGCCTTTCCTCTCTTGTCTAGAGGCCCTGTCTCAATATGTGCCTTGTACAATGTGGGGAGAGAATTTATTTCTGAGCTCGATTTGGGACCAATTTGTTTAAACATTTTCGTTTCAGTCCCTCTTTATAATCAAATGAGAAGTTACTAGGTAAAACTGTGGTGACAGTCCATTCTCTCTTGTTTGTAAAACTAGGAAGGGAAACAGAGGGCATACCTGTCAGAGACATGCTCACAGCTCACCAGGTGAGGCCATGCTGCTGCTGAAGACAGTGGAGACCCGGCCCCCGATTAAGGCAGCTGGTCACTCACACTGCTCCTCACAAGCCTATCTTCTGGACCTCAGCCAAGCCCCCTGCACTCAGTATACCCGAGTTCTTCCCTTTCATAACACTTAGGAAGGGCCACCCTGTTTAGAGCCCCAGTTGGAGAAGGAGGGATACAGCCTGGCTCCGGTAAGCCCCCTACCCACAGAGTCCTCTGCACACACACTCTGGACCTTTCTTTCCCCCTTTCAGGTTTGTCTCTGGATGTCCCCAAGGTCATAGGTGCCCATAACCCAGCAGATATCTGCAAATATAACCAAAGGACAGGATTCTGCTAGGCCTCCCGTGGAAGCAGGTGCCAGGGCTAGGGACTAGGCAGCAGATAGCAGGGTCCTGGATCCCAGATGTGACTGACAGCCCAATATTTCCAGATTCTGGAAAGCCCTACAGGAGAGTCTGGTTAGAGTCACTGGTCAGCTGGAAGGGGCTGTACAGCAGAGCCCCAAGACCCAGCAATCCTTAGCCCATTGGAGTCCAAAGAGGAGAACAAGGGTGATCAGAAGGGAGAAGGCCCCACTGAGATGGACTAACCCCCATGGCCCCTGGCCTACCCTCCATCTACCTCCTGATCTCAGGGTCTGTGTGTCTTCTTGAGCTCTTGGTCCCTCTACAGCTCTCTCTGCCAGACCCTGAGCTTCCCGCCATCCTGCTTGCCCTTCTCCCTGAGACCTAACAGGTGACTCCTGCAAAGCACCTTAGGGAAAAGGTCTAATACACTCTCACAGTTGACATTCCCACTCCCCTTCAAAGGAGGAATCCCTGGGCCCAGGTATCTATTAGAAAGTCACCAGGAAGTGGACTTCTCAATTGTGGAGACACTGGACAAGGAGGGAAATGTCGGGATTAGAGAAACAGAGTCAGTGTTGAGAGGGGTCATAGACAGGGGCCCTGGTCAGGATGCGGTGTGGGCAGGGGAAGGAAGATGTGTTCAGGGCGCTGAGTGGAGGACCCTGGAGGCTGAGGAACCAGACAGGAGGGAGATGCCCCTGGGGATGGTGCACAGCCTCTTCCGCATGCAGCCCCCTAGGTCTCCCCAAGAAGGGCAGCCCTTTGGGGACATGAACGGGGATTTAGCTCTTCTGTACCTGGAAGCCCTGATTCTGGTACAGGCACCATCTCTTTCCAGGAAGACTATGCCTACTGTGGGTACCAACTGTGTGCGCCATGAGTGTGAACTAGTCAGACACACACAACAAACTTAACCACGATGAGTTCACATCCAAACCACCTAAAACTCAAGTGGGGCCGACATCTCTTAGGGGACATCCTGCTGACTATAGGGGACTGAAGTCTGGGACCACATAGGATGGGAGGGATCCTCACAACAGTGGGCAAAGCAACCTCTGTCGGTCCATAAGAAGTAGTGGCCACCAAGAATGCAGGGGGCAGTATGCTGAGGTGTTCTACACACAGCATGTGACTGACCAGTCTGCAGGCCAAGGAGCCCAGTGCTCTGTCCAAGCAGCCAGGGCAGGACTGTCGACAGGACCTGGACTTCTCTTACAGGACAAACTGACCTGGGACAGGGCGGTCTAAGAGGTGTCAAGACCGGGTGGTCAGCGGGACAGGGAGCAGTACCCAGGGCCCACAGGGGCAACACTTGCCAGGGACAGGTGTCCTGGAGACAGCAAGAGGCCCTGGGAAAGGATAGGGCCAGATCTATCACTAGGAAAATGGGCTGGCTTGGGGTCAGAGCACAACTCCCTCTCAGTTTCTTGGGGCCTGGGGTGGGAGGAAAGAACACAGGGTGACCCTTCAGAGGTGGATGTGTGTCCCTGCAGCACTCTGCTGGCTGGAAAGGCCTAGAAAATTCTCTCTACCCCTCTGAGCCTAAATGATGTACTCTGGGTAATGGACATAAGACACTCCTCACTCTAATTAGCAATCAAGAGATGGACTAATCCATAGGAGAGTTTAGAACATGTTAGTCCCCTTCTCTCTTCAAAACCCTGGATGAAGATCTCTTAGCCAGACTCTGCCTTCCATCTGCAGGTCGCTGGATGCAGAGGGTGTCTGGACCAGGATAGACACAGGGTTTCTGTTCTGGAGCCTGACTTATGGATGTGCTGAGTCCTCTGTGGAGTCTTTCTCCAGAGCATGGATCTCGTCCTCCCAACTGTCCTCTCACCTGTCCCCTGGCCTCCTGCCACCTGTGTTCCTCATGCCCAGAGTGACTCAATTATGGCCAGGGTTCACTTTCCCATTGTCAGTCCACAGAGTTCAGGTAGGCCTCTTGTCAGAGTGGGGAAATCAAAACCAAAGATTGTTGGAAACCATGGCAGATAAGTTTCTTGTTCTGTAAAATGATGTTGGTGACATTGGTGACCCAGTTTTGGGAAGGGGCTGGGCACAGTATCACTGATTCACCAGCATCCCAGTGGCTCTGATAATATATAAGGCTCCCAGGCTCTAGAGAATATTGATGAGGATCACACCTAGTGCAAGTGTCAGAAGCAGGAGGCCTCAGACCCAGGAACCGTGAAGTGACGAGGACATGGAGGCCAGACCAGCGCCAAGGCCCAGGTATGGGAGGCCCCTCAGAGATTCTCTACTCATGAGCCTCCTCCTAGAGCTTTCTCCGGGGGCACTTAGTCCTCACCCGCAAGCCACTGGGGATTCTCCCCTCCTCCCAACCTTCTTTCTAGTCCCGGCTTCTCCCTCTGGGGTCCCTGTTTTGGTTCCAGCCCTGGTCTGTTGGCCGATGCTCTCAATTCCAAGTCTCTCCGCCTCCTGGGGCAGGTGTGAGGGAGCCAGAAAATCCTGGTGGATGATGGTTTTGAGCCTGAGTAGGTGAAGATGGCTTGCGTGGGATCCTCCTCTCTTGTCTTACATTAACATCTGCCATTTCTTGCAAACCTACCATGTCTCCAGACCTGGGCTAGGCCCTTTCCGTGCCCACTCCCATCCCCTTTAACCTAATATGAGCAGTGAATTGCTTCTAGCGCTGCTTTTCTCCAAGCAAAGTCCCTGTTTCTTTTTTCTGAGAACACACAATAGGAAGTGGCAGAGTCCAGATTCATACTCAAGTCTGTGCAAAAACATAGAGAGACTGGGGTTTTTCTAAGGACAGATGAGTTAGGGTCATGCTAGAATGCACAGTGAAGTTCTAGGAGAAACCTGCAAAACGGAGCTGGGGTTTCCTGCTTCAGGAGCCTGAGGTGCCCACCAGGCCTAAGAGGCATCAGGCATCAGCAGAGCTGAGACCTGGGCAGGACTGGACTCCCTGGGGAGATGTGTGGTGAGGGCCAGGGAGGGCAGGGCTGAGGGAAGGCCCTGAGTAAGGGGACAGGGCACGAGTTACCTAGAGTGTTGGAGAAGTAGCTTCAGCAAAGAGGTGGGACTCTCTTTTCCTCGAGGCCCTGGGGGCAGGGAAGTCCATGCTTCCTGGTATTAGAGGGTCAACCACAAGTGCTTTCAGGTAGAGAACATGCAGTCTCAGTCAACAAGAAATTACAACAGAGTAGGCGGCAAATAATTGGACACACATTAACAAAAACATTGGAATGCAAAACTGGCCTCCAGTATTCCCTGCAGATCTAACCTGTAAGGAGCAAAGCGTGTTTAACTCAGCAGAACACACGCTTTGCCAGGCCTGGCTGCCCTATTAGGGGAGAGAAGAAGGAAATGCCTTCTTCTCTCATCTAAGGGGGAGGGGGAACAGGGACCAGAGGGAGGACAGCCAGTGAGAAGGTTGAGAGACACTTCCTCCCCTAGGAAGACCCAGAGCTCCACAGTAGACACGCATGTCAACCTCAGTCCACTGAGGTCAGGCAAGTTGTCTCCCTCATTGGTGGAGATTTCCAGCCACTAGTAGCTGGAAAAGGCCTTCTGCAGACCTGGAGCTCAGGAAGGAGAGTAGGAAGTGGTGATAGGACATGGGCCAAGGATGAGGATACCTTCTTCAGAAAGTCCCATTGAGGAAAGGAAGAGGACTCCTTATTACCTTCTTCTGCCATGCTGAGGAAGAAGAAAGGAACAGCCCAGTGCCTGAGTGTGGCCTTCCTGGTTAGGCTCAGAGGATCTATATGCCGTAGCAGGCGAATGTCATCTCAGAGGAAAGATTATCAGGACACTGGAAACTGTAGACCCACCTCAGGGGTAAACTTAGGAAGACCCTGGATGACAGCTGTCAGCTGACTTAGAACCACCATTCAGACTCAGGAAGGTGCCAGGGCTCCGGAAGGATGGGTGCAAGAAAGGCATATTCAATGGGCCACGGAGGAGGATTAAAGCTGGAAAAACTGAGGCCACAATGAGAGCATAGATCCAAGAACACAGGAAGGACCAGCTGGCAGAAGCTGATTGTCACAAGGAGCTGGCACCCAGTCCTTCTTCTGGCCACAGCACCGTCTCCAGTTCCCTCTGGAATCTCCCATCCCCCATGGACCACAGCCTTGGTGGGGCAATCACCACCTGTCACCCAGGTGCCTTCCTAGGAAAAGGGTGAGTTGGGAGCTAAGCTCAGCTCCTCCCTCAAAGCAGGAATAAAGGAAAGAAATCAACTAGAAAGTGTTTGACTTGGAGGGGACCCTGGAAGATGGTCCCTGGATCCTTCTCTGGGTTCTTTGGAGCAACAGGGTCATGTTCCTTCCAAGACCTTCCCCTTCAGGTTTTCCAGGAACCTGGGAGCACTTGCTTCCTGGACATCTAAATACCTACTTTAGTGAGCATCATGTGCTCATTCTGCTTCCATAAAGGCCTTGTAAATAAATATCCAGGAAAAGTCAAGCAGGATGAGCTTTGGCCCTCCAACCAGAATGCAGAGGAACCTAAGCATACTACGTGCCTTGTCACAGAATAGCCCAAGGGGAAGCCACTAATCTGGAGACTAAGAGGATTTCAATCGGAATGCAGAGGCATCACCGCAGCTCCAACGTAGGGTACTTTCAGCTTGATTGTAGGGATGCTGGGATTTGCAGCCCTGCAGATCTAACCTGTAGGGAGGAAGCGTGTTTAACTCAGCAGAACACACTGTTCTTCAATGTGAGGATGAAAAGTTAACGGTTTAGAAAGGAAAGGGTGGGAAGTGGAAAGGGAAGGAAAAGGAGAGGAAGCCTGAGTCCTTGTTTCACAAAGATGACAGCCCAGACAGATGGTGGAGAAGAGAAAGGGAAACAGACTTGAAGCTGAAGAGGAAGGAGATGTGAGTCAGATTGGTGACATCACTTTGAGGATAGGGAAGCAAGAGGAAAGATGAAGAGTTGGAAATTCTCTACTACGTTAAGAGATGTGGAAGACCTCATGCATCATCTGAAGGAAGTCCCTGGCAGTCTCTTTCCTTGATGGTCCCACTAAGGAGCATCTCAGCCCTGTGCTGGGTGGGGTACACATGAGTTAACCCTGCAGACTGGCGGAAAAGCCCAGCGGGACCACCTTGAGCAGGAACTGTGGGGCTGGCAGAGGTCAAGGGAGTAGGCCCAGTTGTACCACAGGGAGAAGGGTGGGGCATCCCCCAAAGGGCCTGAGCAGACAGTACTGATCTTGGGGAGACCCTGCAGGGGCCAAGGCAGACTCAGGACTGTGCTGACTTCCCAATGAGCCCAGAAGGGGTCGGAAAGGGAGGCTTGGTGGCTCCAGAAGTGAGTGGAAGTCCCTTGAACAGGTGTCTCAGGGTGTGTGGATAAGGAGGGAAGGAGTGTAGAGAGAAGGGGAGGGATGTCAGTTGGAGAGAGAGTGTGTGGCATGCATGGAAGAGAGTCATTAGTTCAGTGGAAGGAGTGTGAGATGGAAGGCAAGGAAATCTGGGGTGGTCCAATGAGAAGCCTAGGTCTTTGGTTTTCTCCCACAGATGCCTTATGGATCAAGGCACATTTATTCTCGACTTTACAAATGAGATCTCAAGCTCTGGGTTGCACCGGACCTTCCTGTGCTACAAGGTGGAGCGCCTGGACAATGGCACCTGGATCCCACAGGACGAGTACATGGGCTTCCTGCGCAACAAGGTGACCAGACTAGCACATCACAACTAGGTTGGGCCCTCCACTCTGAGGAAATTCACCAGTAGAAGGTTTTCAGTGATGCATGTGTTATTCCCTAGAGTGTCTGTCACCTAAGTGTTCTGCTACTTCACCCTGGGATCACCTGGGAGACTTTGGCTTCATGACGCTCCATGATTGGGATCTTCCAGTTCATGTTAGAAACTGGTCATGTGGTCCACAGCCCTGGGCCATTAGGCCAGTATAACCCCCAAGTCCAGGGCTCAGCCATCCCTTCCTGCTGTACTCTGAGGTTAACTAGCCCAGAGACAGAAGAAAAGGATCTGCACCAAGACCAGGTGGTGTCGGGTCTCTCAACGCCAAAGTGTTTCCTGAAGACCGTCCAGGATCCCCTTCCAGAAGCAGCTTCTCATGAAGGGTATCTTTAGAGAGATGGGTTGGAGGACTCAGGGTCTCCCTGCTTCACACAGCCAGGATTCCCAAGTGTCTGCTCCTGGGCATCATCCCGAGAAAGAGGGATCGAGGCTGGAGAAGAAGGGAATCTTTCCCTGGGATTCTGTCCTGATAGGGTAGAGCCCACAGGAAGGCCAAGAGAACAAGCACCATATCAGGATGTCAGGGTTGGCCAGCATTTAGGGAGGAGCCAGGACTGGACAGGCCATGGCGGGTCCTGAGTTGGAGGGACATTCGTCTCTGGTCTTTCCTAGCCCAGCCTCTGGCTGGAGAGTCTGAGTTCTTCTTGGCTCTGGTCCTGGAAGTGGGGGTTCCTCTGGGCACTACGAATTAAGTGGGTGCCTGGCAGGACCCACACTCACTGCTTGAGATGTTGTTTTAAAGACACCAGTCATCATAACTGCTTAGCTAGCTAGACTGGCCCAGGAATGACCCACAGCCCTTTCTCAGCACACATTGTGTCATCCATCCCACCCTGCCATCCTCCCAGCAATGGTTTCCTGGGCTGGACTCATCCTTTCCCCAACCCCTCTCCTTGCTGCACTGGTGTCCTTCATCCAATTAGCTCCTAGTCCTAGTGGACAATGCTTCACTCTGCAGTTCAGACAAAACACCATCATTCTATGGGCTTCACAGTGACAATTACCCCATGACTCAGGGACTTTCCACCTTTAGAATGAGTCCTACTAAGATGCCTTTCCCCCACTCCTCTTTGTAAAGAGATTCCTTTTTGCCTGAGTCTATATCACATTTGAGCTCAGGACAGGATGTAGCAGTTTAGAAGCTTCTAGAAGTGTGGGTCACAGATGTGGGTTGGTAGGTAAATTGACGGGTAGAGAGGTCAATTCTCATATGAAGGGACCCACACCCAGCTCCTTGACATCAGGCCAGTGATCTTTGGGCTCAGCTGACTCCTCCTCCCTCTCTGGCTCTGCCCCTCCCTGTAGGGATTAGGCCTGGGCTGAAGGTCTTGAAGGCACTGACCTGGGGTACAAATTTAGAGAGGACTCCAAATGCACAGAGAAATCACGTTTTAATGTAAGATTAATATTTAATGCAATCTTTTAAAAACCAAATTCAATGCAAAAACCTCATGACAAACAAAGCATCGACATTCTAACTGAAGACAGATAGTAACAGTGCTGCCATGTGGGGTGTATTACAACTTTGGCATATTAAGAGTCATCATTCCTGATCTGTTTGTTTTTACATGGTCAATAGTGTTCATCTTGGAATTTTTATATTTTGAATATTGCATAAAAATTTATTCATCTTGGTATCTGAGGTCCCGGGCCCCCTAATTATGTGTGGAATCCCCACCTCCCTGGCTTCTCCCTGGTCCAGGCCCTCCCTTGTTCACACTTTGCTTTCTTTGCTAGGCTAAGCAGTTTCCCTATCTAGGTTATCATGCAGAGTTGTGCTTCCTGGACCTGGTTTCTTCTTGGCAGCTGGACCCGGACCAGCACTACAGAGTCACCTGGTACATCTCCTGGAGCCCCTGCTCTAGGTGTGCCCAGGCAGTGGCTGTATTCCTGAGGGAGAAAGAACATGTGACCATGCGCATCCTGGCTGCCCGAATCTATGATTGTGACCAGGGATATGGGGAGGGCTTGCGCACACTGAAGAAGGTGGGGGCCGACGTCGCCATCATGACCTCCACAGGTGAGAATGGAGCTTGGGGTTGGGTAGGGTGAGATGTGTGGAGCCAGGGAAAGGGCCCTGGGAAGTTACTAGAAAGGGGTGAGAGGGTCAGCATCCCTGGGGGAAAGACCTTGGTTGGCTGCCTGCAGAGCTGATGGTGACACTCTGAAACCTGACTTTGGGGTCTACTGGAAGACAGTGTTCAGGTCAGGAGATAGGGTCTTGGGGAAGGGAGTTAGGGTAGATGGAAGCAAAAAAACTTGGTGAATTCCAGAAAGAAAGAGAACTGGGACTCAGATTCCACCAGGAAGAAAGAGTTTGATAAAAGACCTAGGGGAGGAAAAGGCAAAGGAGAGAACTGAAATTGGGATGTGGAAGGTCTGTCCCTAAGAGTCATACACTCAAATGCCTCCTCCTCACCCACAAAGGGAGCTTGACTGATCTCCCCTGTCCCTTTTCAGACTTTGAGTACCTCTGGAACACCTTTGTGGACCACCAAGGAAGTCCCTTTCAACCCTGGAATGGGCTGGATCAACATAGTCAAGCCACAAGCCAGAGACTGCAGAACATTCTCTAGGTGAGGGCCTCCTCCCGCTGGCTGGAGCCCCATCTGCCTCCTCCCTCCTCCCTTCCCTCCCTGAGCCTCTCCTTCCCCTTGGCTCAGCCTCCTCTGAGTTACCTGCTCCCCAGGGGTGTCCATCTCAGTACAGTCCCTTCCTTCTCACTGTCTCCCCCTGCTCTGTTGCCTCCTGTGTCCTTCCTTCCTCTCCATGTCATTGTAACGTTCCCCAGACCTTTTTCCTGTGCCATCTTTCCACTGTCCCACTTCTTGCTCCATCCAATTTCGCCTGCTCTTCTAGAATCAGAGCAATTGAAGAAAGGACGTCAGTATCTCCAAGGAAAGCAGGAGACCTGTGTTGAGTAGCAGAATAAAACACCTCTTTCAAGAAACACAAACAGGCCACTCACTAAGATCCCCAGCTCATCAACACAGATCAGCAAGGAAACAAGTTCTTGAGACGTTAATTTTTTTAAAAGTCAGAGTGAATTCCTCTTAATTGAAAATTTATTTTATATTTCATTATACTGTAGCAAGAATATACTCAATACTCTCAGAATGATTTTCCAGTGATTAATGAAATGATTATTTAATTGGTTTAATATGTAGGCCAATAAAATGAAATCGAATCTTCCATAATTTTTTTGCTCAGTAAATGTCTCCTGAATTAAAGCGTTTAATTGAATACCAGCAAATGGGTAAATGTCTTTCATTTTGTAACACACCTTCAGTGGTCACACGTATTCCCACTAATATGAGAAAATGCAGTTAAACCTGACAGGACCAGAACATAACTCGACACCCTGCCCTCACTGACAGAGTGCCATTCTGCTGGCCAGCCCCGTGTGGTAGTGGCAAGCCATGTAGTAAGGGAAGAGAGAGAAGTGAGCCTTCATGTGGGAAAGAAACCCCAAATGTGTAGTCAGGGTGTGCCAGCAGCAGTCCCATCCCCATACCCTTCCCAATTCCACCCCCTAGAGAGGGAGCCCAGGAGTGGAGGGAGTGTGAACCTGAGCATAAAAATGGGCAGTTTCAGTTGGGCTCAGTGGCTCAGCCTGTAATCCCAGCGCTTTGGGAGGCTGAGGTGAGTGGATTGTCTGAGCCTACAGGTTCGAGACCCGTCTGGGCAACTTGGCAAGACCTTATCTCTACAATAAATCAAAAATTAGCCGGGCGTGGTAGTGCGCACTTGTAGTTCCAGCTACTTGGAAGGCTGAGGCGAAAGGATTGCCAGAGCCCAACAGGTCGAGACTGCAGTGGCCAGGAGCGTGTCACCACACTCCAGTCGAAGTGACGGAGTGAGACTCCAACTCAAAAAAAAAAAAGAAAGAAAAAGAAAAGAAAATGGGTAGTTTCCCTTGTATCTTTTGGTCTTCTCTCTGAAAAACAGACCCAGCCTCTCAACCACAGCACCCCCACCCCAGCATGAACCATGACCTGCCCTAGATCTCTCTTACCTCTGACTCTGCACAGCCTGGAGCACCGAGTCAGGCTCCTGGCCACTGGTCATCCTGCACGGCAGGATTTTCCAGAAAGGGGAGGCTTCCCCAGTCTTCCCTCAGCCGACTTCTGCTCATCTCTCAGGCCCAACACAGTGTTACCATCTTGACAGTGACTGTTGGGGCTGGGAGAGAGAAATTGTTCAGTGCACAACACTGAATGTAAAGGCAGGAAGAGGGGGAGGCCTCGACATTGGAGGGGAGGATAGAGGGAAGTCCGAAAGGCTCCATATGCTCAGAGGGAAGAACTAGAGGACACCAAGACTTGTGGAGAGCCTGAAGGAAAGGAGAAGAGAGGAGGGGAGAGGGGCAAAGCAGGGGCTTCAGGCAGTAGTGGGAGAATGAGGGGCAGGAAGAATCCAGGAGGACGGGGTGGGGGGTGGGGTGGAAACAGAGGGACAGGAAGGAAGTCTGTGGCTGCCAGGGTGTCCAAGGGGCTTGAGAGTGGGAGTGGATCATCCCACAGCACAAGGCGTGGGCAGGTGGCCAGCAGGACAGGATCCAGACCCTGGGCTCCACACCTGCTCCCCCAGCCTCGCCTCTCTTGCTGGTCACCAGGTGACTCCCGGAATGACAATTGCCCAACTGCAGATATCGAACCTCATTTCAGGGAGGAAGAGAATCAGGGAAACTCCAGACCCTATAGTCTGCGTATCATCTGCCCCAGGTAAGGTCTACCAAGCAGAATCTTACTTAACCTTCACTCCATCCAACCAGGTGAACGACTATTGTTATTCCCAACTTCCAAGTGAGGACATCAAGGCTCAGGAAGGAAATGTCTCCTGCAAACAGTAGGTGGTGGCAGTGGCTGACCCCTCTACCACCTCTGGAGGTGTCCAGTATGGTCACTGGGCTCTCAGTCCCTCTCTGGGAGGCCCCAGAATCTCCCTTCCAGGCTCTGTCCTCCCTGATGCCAAGTTCCTGGGTAACACCCTCCCCAGGCAAGAACTTTCTGGTAACTGATCATTTTTAACCTCACAACTTACCTTGGATATAGGGCCACTGTGGTGTTTTTCATCTAGGCAGGACCTTTTCAAAAGTGACTGGGCTACTATCAACAATGACAGGGACAGCAGGCCCAGAGCTGCCCTGTCGAGGGCGACGGGGACAGGTATGCCCTACTCAAAGGGAGCCTATCAGTTCCTATTATATGAATGAGGAGATGGAGGTGCCAAGATGTCCTGTGTATACATGTGGGCAAGCCACCCAATCTCAACCTCAGTCTCCTCCCCTGCACCATAAGAAGAAGGCCAGGTGCAGTGGCTCACACCTGTAACCCCAGCACTTTGGGAGGCTAAGAGGGGAGGATTGCTTGAGCCCAAGAATTTGAGATTAGCTTGGGCAACATAGCAAGATTTCATCTCTACAAAAGATCAAAAAAATTAATCGGTGCATGCCTGTAGTCCTAGCTACTCAGAAGGCTGAGGCAGGAGAATTGCCTAAGCCCAGGAGTTCAAGGCTGTGGCAAGCTGTGATCATGCCACTGCACTCCAGCCTGGGCGACAGAAGGAGAGCCTGACTCAACAACAACAATATCAAAAAGATTGTGGTGGGCCTCAAGAAACAATACCTCAGCCGGGCTCGGTGGCTCAACCTGTAATCCCGCGCCTTTGGGAGGCTGAGGTGAGTGGATTGCCTGAGCCCGCGGGTTCGAGACCCGCCTGGGCAGGCGAGACCTCATCTCTACAATAAAATAAAAAAATTAGCTGGGCATGGTAGCACGCGCCTGTAATTCCGGCTACTTGGAAGGCTGAGGCGGAAGGATCACCGGAGCCCAGCAGGTCGAGGCTGCGGTGGCCGGGAGCTGCCACTGCACTCCAGTCTGGGCGACAGAGTGAGACTCCAGCTAAAAAAAGAAAAGAAAAAGAAAAGAAACAATACCTCAAAACAAAGGCCTCAGAAACAAATGCCTTTCTCTGACCTTCTCTCACCTTCCTGTCCCTCAGTCCCATCCTCTCTCAAGGCTGGTCATAGAAACTATAATTCCTTTTACCCAAGGTAGTTCATAGGAACCAGAGTCCCTTTTTTCCCAAAGCCAGCTGTAAAACCTAAAAACATCACTCAAACTTCCCTTTCACCTTTCTTGACCATAAAGAAATGATCTGACCTGCCTTGTGTGACTATAGGTATGAGGTCTCCGTTCCAGAAAGGGCCCCACCCCCAGAAGGAAGAAATGCATGGCAGAGAGGTCAGAAGGATCTAGACACACAGGCCTTGCTGGGTGTCCCCACTCAGTCTATCAACATTAGATCCTGCCCTCTTTTGTCCAATCATATTTCTACATGGCTGCCCATAATTGATTGAATCTGAACATGAAAACGGGCAGTTTCCCTTGTATCTTTGGGTCTTCACTCTGAAGGTTCTAGTGTACATATTAAATAAAATGTGTATGCCTTTTTTCCAGTTAATCTGCCTTTTGTGAGTTATTTTTTCAGCAAAACTTCAACTGCAAATCAATAGACACCAACCTTGTGCCCAAGACACTGAGAGTCTAGCTTATCCCTAGGTACAAAGGGTAACTACCGTACAACGAGGAAAATGTGCTTGGGGGGCGGGGATCAGGGGATGGGAGAAGAGCGTTTTGCACAACCTGGAGAGAAGAGGGTGCTCTTGGAAGTCTTCCCTGAGGGGTCTCACTCTGTCTCCCTGAATGAATCCTAAGGATAGATAAGAGTCATTCAAGCTGGAGGCCTATGAATGGCAGGGAATCATGACTCAAAGGGTCACATCTGCAGAGGCACCTGAGTGTGCAACAGTGACAGTGACACAGTTGATTCTGTTCAGAGAGGACTCTATAGGTGAGCCCACAGACAGGGGCATGTATTTATAACCCCTGTGACCTTAAGACTGACCACATAGCAGACAGTGTTTGCAAAGAGAGCCTAGATCTCCTCCTCCCATGCACACTCACAGAGTCAAACCCAAACCAGAGCCCAAAGGGCCATCTGCCAACACCCCTCATGAATCAGCCCCAGCAGGGCCCCTGATCTGACGCAGATTCGGTTCTTCTTTGAGCTCTCCAGTCCCAGGAGAGGGGAAAGAGGGACTAAAGGAAGTGTGGGCTGTTAACAGCGACCTCGTGAAGGGGATGTGGCTTGCACTCAGAGGAGCAACCTGAACAGGCTTGATTGCTGAGGTTTAGACCAGGGTATCAAGAGGCTGGGCCGAGCTGAAGCCTTTGCAAGACATCACCGATGACCCTAGGCTTACAAAATGATGGATCACACACACACACTGAAATATCACCAGCTTGCGCAAAGTTTTTAGAAATGAGAGAAAGGGTTTAGAGACAGATTAGCAAGTGCATTTATTTATTTTATTTTATTTTTTAGAATGTTTTGTTTTTTATTATAAAGATGTGGGGTACAATTCAGGGTTAGGTATACGAACATTGATTATGCAAGTACCCTTGTTGATGAGGTATGCCCCTCCCTCCCCTAGCAGTTTTCCTCAACTGCCAATCCTACCCCCTTCCCCTGACAGTTTCCCACTACTGCCAGTCCCTTTCTTATAGTATTA